CTAATCGAGCAAATCTATCATCTGGAGTAGGCTCATCAACCTCAACTTCCACCTGATCGTTCAAGAAATCCTCAGCGCCCGCTTCAGTTTCTTGTTGCTCTGATACCAATTGTGAGGATCGAAGACCTCGATTCACCTTCCTAGCCATTGATTTAAGCTAAATTCAGCTTTGAGAAGAAGAGACAGAGATATGAGAGAAAGAGAGAGAGAGAGAGAATTGGACAAGAAAAGTGTATAGAACTGAGGAGAAGAGATTTCTTATTCATCAACTTGTATCTCAATTATTACAACCATCTATTTATACAATTCTTCTCACTCTAACAGACTGTGCACGTGCACACAGTTGCAACAGTAATAAAAGAAATTAACAGCTTAACTGTGCACGTGCGGACAGTTAGGTTCTCTAACAAAATCCAACAAACAGTCAAACATTTATTATAGCCCCTGAACTTCGAGATTTTGCATGATAGCCCCTAATAGCTTGCATATCAGTCCTTGTTCTTGTATATCAGTCCGATAGTGCACACAGTTAGGCAGAATCTTTCCCAGCTTCCAACCTCAACTCCAGCTGCCTTAGCATTGGCTCCTGACACCTACATGCTAATTTTAGAGCTTTCTAACCATTAATATTTGTTAAAATTTTCATTTGAAGTATTCCAAATTCTATTTTAAAGTAGAATTAATATAAGTTTGAAAAAGGAATTAGAAATTTGATTTATTTAATAGCAAACTTAGCCAATATTATTCGTTGAAAAGCTCTAAAATTAGCATGTAATTATCATAGAAAACATTTGAATGAAAAATTTCACGTATGAATGATCGCTGGCAGTAACGTGCAAATTGTGGAAATTTTATGGTATTTTATCGTACCATAATGCAAACTTGTGGTATATACTTTTCGAAATGAAAAACTTACGGTATTTTTGTGCAATTCAGCCCGTTTATTTTGAAAATATTTTTAAAAAAACTGAAAATCTCAAATAATAAAAATGACAGGAGAAACTATATATTGCAAATTCTATTACTATAAAAGTAAAACTGAACAATTGAGTTTGTCTTATCAAAGCTTGTCGATAATGGCACACCATAATATGAACTCTTCAGTTCAGGAGTTCCATGCCATCTACCTGGTCATCCTGGGTGTCATTATCGACTTTGTCTTGTGACTCTTATCAAAGTTTGGTGTTCTGAACATCCCATTGGTGTCATTATCGATTTTCAATGTTTTACCTGGTTTATTATTTGAGATTTTGCAATCTATTATCAAAAAAGCAACTACTCTTAGACCAATTTCATTTATCTGCAGGTTAATGAGAACCTAGGATATGTTATTTGAGTATGCAGACAACAAGGATTGCAAATTTAGAAGTCCATAGTGATGCACGCATAAAGACTGCATCTTTATGCATTACTCGGTGAATCAAGCAATATGTAGCGAAGTTGACTCTCCAGTTGATGGCTAAAGTCAAAAGTGGGGAACAATGCACTCATCAAAGCAAGTTGGAAAAAAAATTGCACATAGTAAATATATAAAAAGGATAATCTTCTAGGAAATTTTCAGAAATCTGCTTTTGAACAATTGAGATCACCAACATCAGTAACTCTCTTCAATTCAGATCACCAACATCAGTAGCATTAACCTTTCTTCAGCCTTGAACAATTGAGTCAGTGACTATGAGAATGGATCCTTGCAAATATTTCACAGTACCCATATAAAATCATGTACAACAGCAACCAGAAAGAACTCAATTTCTGGAAAACAATAATCAAAAGATAAGTTCGACACTTTTTAGAGCAACATCTCTCAATAAAGGAACTGATATGTAATGCTCAAACTAAGTGACAGTGTGTACTAACTCCTTACAGAAAAGCATAGCAGGAAGGAACTGATATGTAATGCTCAAACTAAGTGACAGTGTGTACTAACTCCTTACAGAAAAGCATAGCAGGAAACAAAGTGAAGCTGATGGGGTTTGTTAATACCAGCCCTCGCGCATCAGCAGATAATTTCAAGTTCATATTTATCGAATGTCCGACTCTTCTGTTTGCTCTTATTTGAGGCAGTGCGATCTAGCCAGCGATTTGGATCAAATCACACAAGAATCAAATCACACAAGACCCAATCTCGTAGTTGCCCAACAAACTCAAAATAACATCAGAAATCTCTGAGAAGGTTAATCAGAGCAGCAGAAAGAAATGACGATGGAATCAGTTTCAGTAAAACTAAACTAAATAAGATTGCAGCCTGAATTGTCTTGGGAAAAATAGCAATTTAATCAATGTATGCTATACATTACAAACTAATCTTGAGCTCTAAAACACTAAGTTCTAACAGATGCCCAGTGCTAGTAAATCGTAACAGTACTCATCACCGACAGCATAAGCGGGCAATGGCATGTTCAAGCAGTCCTGCATGGCTGACATGATTTCCTCTCCCCCCTTCACACTTCTTTCCCCCTCCGCTGGCGACGGAGTTTCTTGTAGTATGTGGCCGTCTAGACAAAAGGACAAGCCGTCGAACGACGTTGAGGGTTCAACTTCGAGGCATTTCAAAAGTTGCTCTACGTCCACAGGGTCTGCTGGTTGCTGCTGCGAGGTATTTGAAGGAAGCTCGTCCAAGATTGTATTGATTTCGTCTAACGTCATTGTTAGCCCGTCATCAGCATCAACAGCGGAGGCCTGATGGGCTTCTTCTTGTTCTATCCTCTGCCTCTTGGCACATCTTTTATCCATTGGAGACCGCAACAGTCCCTGATTCATTGGAATTTGGTGAGCTCCTCCTCCTCCTCCTCCTCCTATTCTCTGCCTCTTCACTCGTCTTTGCTCCTCCACCTCCACCTCCACCAGTTCTTCCTCCAGTAACCGCACAAGTGAGAGATCATCATCATCAACATCAGCAGCGGCAACCGCATCAGCTTCCACCAAAGGCTGTGCTGCTGGCAACGAAGTTTGTTCGTCGGCCGTCTGTTGTGTATTAATAAACACTGGCGCCACCTCCTCCTCGTCCTCGTCCTTTCCCTTCCTCTTATGGATTCTGCAGAGCACCACGTCATCAGCCTTGTCATCAACAAGACGATACTCGTGCAAGATCCAGAGGGTGCTCTTCTTACTCTTCTTATCATCAAACAACTTGAACGCCAACTGCGCCCTGTGCCCAATCTCGATCTTCTCCCCGCCATTCCCAGCTTTGTGGATGGCCTTGCCCGCGGCGTGACCATCCCACAGACCCCCTTCATCGACGGTTCGGCTAAACCTCTTGGAGCCGTTGCTGCTTGCACGACGTCTCCTAGTGAAAAAGTACATCTCCTTCTCCTCCGTGTTGCAGTACGGGAAGAGGTGATGCGGGAGGTGCCACGGCCGATGCTCGTAGATGTCGAGTTCCCGTATGAAACTCTCGGGTATGCTGAAATCTCCTTGCGTCCTCCTTCGAAGGTAGTCTCTCTCTCTCTCTCTCTATCTATCTAATAAACACCTTTCCAAATTAAGGCTTCATATTTATAAGCCCAAATACAGCAATTTCCAAATAATTCATCTCCTAATCCGGGGATCAATAGGATTGTTTGCTTAGAAGTTAAGCATTAACCTTAGAATTTAAACTCCCGTGCCCTAACATAGTGCTGCTCAAATTAGGAAACACAAATCTTTTTAGAATTCTAACTACTAATAAACAGCCGACATTTTTACTCAGAAGACCCTATTATTAATTTATTTTTGTTAAAAAAAGAACAATTTGTATGCTAATTAAGACTGGGTTATCGTTGCATCTGATACGCAATATTGCAGCTAGCTACCTTCAACGATTTATGTTTATATATTATGCAACATTCATGCAAAGTAGAAATATATGTTTGATCGATCTGCAAATTAATGTTAGAAACTCCCCTTGCTCAAATGTTAGAATATTAGTATTTCGTTGTACTTATTCTATTAACAGCAGGCTCTTTAACGTATTGCCCAAGTTCATATCAATAATGCTTTAGACTAAATTATCTAAGATCTTAAGACGTTATAAAGCAAATCCCGACTGGATCCCGTAAACCATAAAAACTAAGCCAATCTAAGTTCAAGGCTTCAGTAATATTGGGAAAATTAAGAGCTAAATTGCACAAATATAACATAAAGTTTCCCGTTCCGACAACTAAATTTATAACGAAGTTTTTTCAACTCAAGTCAGATTCCAAATTTAGCTTCTCATGCCTATCAACTTGGTACAACTAGAATAGGACTTTATATTGTGTGAATATATCACAAGCTCAATATCCACATAACACACACTTTTGGTTTTAATGTAATTTTGTCAATATAATGAGATATTAGTGTATAGACTTAAAATTTACTTTATACAATTTTTGCTTAGTCTATAAATTCATTTGAAAAGGTTTCATATCCTTGTTTATCTCATTTGTCCAAAACTAAGAATATTATACACTTATTTTACATGTTTTAGCAAAACTATGAGTTTTTACAAACAGTGAATCACACGTGGAAAATTCCTTTTGGAACATGTTCATTTATATGTTTATAAACTATTCTCTAAATTTTACATTTTTAGAATTTATTTGATATTTTTTAACAGAGTCTAAAATTCAGTGTCTTTGTGCAAATTCTGTTCTGTGCACGTATAGTCGACTCATAAGTCGACTCATAAATCGACTTATAAGTCGACTTACGAAGTGTAGCGGAATTGATATTTTTCATATGCTGAGTCGACTCATATAAGTCGACTCATTAGTTGACTCATGAGTCGACTTATCAGAGAGCCGTTGCACAGTAACGATTAGTTTTCTGTTTTGTGTGTTTATGGCTTTTTGGTCTTTTTCCTTGGGTTTTAGCTGATGTATTGAGATGCTATATATACCCATATGCTCTGAATTCTTCAACAACGAAGAAGATTCCTTAATCAAGTTTTGAAAGAGTTTAATTCTTGCAAAACTTCATTTGGTGTCATCAATGTAATACAATTAGACATGTCGAGATTTCTTGCCGGATACTTATTATCATTTCATGATTTCTCGAGAAATATATATATAAACAAGGTTTTGCACAGACAATAATAGCTGCCAAAAGACTATCCAGCATATAACTCCAGACTAAAAACTTCCAAATGCCATATGCACTCATTTGTAAAGCAAATCCAGAAGCATGCTTCAAGCATTTTGACTACTCCCTATAAAAATATCTATACATCCAATATATAGAACACTGTAAAGGGAAGGATAGTAAAGGAGTTCAGTTCATCCTTCTTCTTTGGCGCATACGTGAACCTCCATTAACATCCGATGAGCCAGAGGAGCTCGAGGGCCTGTTTCTTGCTCTCCTAAGAACCATAGGACTTCCACCCCTGTTATTAGCTTCCAATGATGCATCAGGAACAACACTTTCACCCTCAATCATCGCCATTGTGCTTGAAGTTGAGGCCTGACTAGGAGAAGGCGAAGCCGTAAGTGCCACGCGTTCTTGATCCCTTCGACGCACTGAACGGCGCGGTCTAGTAACAGTATCTACAAAAGCAGAAGTTTGAAGTACATTTGCCGGTTGAGTTCTTGTTTCGACTTGAGGCGGTGAAGTTGCAGTAGACAGAGGGTTAGACTGAAGGTTTCTAGGAGGTTGAGGATTTCTTCCTCCCCTTTGGAAAAAGCTCTCATTGATCATTTCTTGCACCTCATGATACAAATATTCTGTTCTTCTTCCAAACAAAGGGTTTCGAAACAGCTGCCTCGGATTTTCCGCCCTCTTCCCTTTCGGTCTTGGAGGAATCTTCAACTTCAGATCCAAATCTTCTCCATTATTCTTATGTCCAGTAGCTTCTGAACTCCCCCTTCCATAAATAGGAACTAGATTCGATTCCTTCACTTTCCCTCTACATACTGGGCACTCTTTGGAACCACGACGAGCATGAAGCCACTGATACAAACATGGCCAGCAAAACAAGTGACCGCAACAAGTAACAACAGGGTCTTTAGCCAATTCAAGACATATGTTGCAGTCAAATTCAGAAGCAGCATCATTCTTAACCTCTGCTGAGCTCTCTGTCTGTATAGCTCTGTCAGAAAACTTATGCATCCTAATCACAGATGTCTTGATATCATGCATCAGTCTCTCAGGATCAGTTGCAGGATCTGGTCTAGGACCGGCGTCATCATCGTCGTCGTCATCCCCAGCCCCACCGCCACCACCACCATCATTGTCATCGTCTAATCGATGAGTCCTTGTTATCTCCAACCGTTGTCGGGATTCAATCAACCTTCGGATCCGGACCCGGACTTCAGGATGTTCTAGAAGGCGTTGCCGCAATGTGGGCCCACCTGTCTGTTCCCTAGGTTGATCACTGGAGTCGGGAATCTCATCGAGGGGAAGAAGGGCATCGGGAGATGGTAGTTGCATTAAGACATCATTGATACCAGATGATGAGAAGGGTAGATCATTGAGGGAAAGGTCATGACCAAAGTCTATACCCAAATTGAGATTTCGATCCATCTTCTCACTTTTGGTTCAAGAATTAGGGTTTTAGATGAAATCAGGAAGTCAATAACCTAAACTGCAAAACCCACAATAAAAAAAAGGGACCTTTTCATTCAGGAGAACTCAGATAAGCATAGAGAGGAAACGACTGTGATCCTTTCAGCTTTATTCCTACTAAACAGAAAAATAAATTAAACATCAAAATTGGATCTTTTTGCCGTTCCCAAGATCAATTGACTAACTTTATTAAGGGTGAGGCATCAAAAAGCAATCTTTCCAGGTTTCAACAACGAAAAACCCTAATTCTTGAAACAAAGATCAAGAGCCCTAGCTGTTCAAACTCCAAAGCCCTTTATCAAAATCGAAAATTTCCACCGATTCCGGCCTCCATTGCGTTCGAAAAACAACGAATTATAAACACATTTTCTGAAAAAAGAAGATTAAAAAAATTAGGAAAAAGAATTATACCTGATTTCCTCGTTCGTTGGGGACGCCCGCAGACCCCACAACAAGAACGGAGAGAGAGAGAGCTGGGGAGGGTCTTCGGTAGAAATCCTAACTCTAATAATAGTTGAGTTCGTTATCTGAACTCTTTTTTTGCACCCAGAATTACACCCAGCGGCATAATATTGACAAGTGTGAGTTTAAGTTGGTCGTTGGTTTTGGGTGAATCGGTCTATTTTAAGGAGGAATGAGGAATTTTATGAAGTTCCCCAATCCATGATATGAGAAGGCCCGGTTCCTAATAAAAGATAAAAAAACACTAGCGGCACACTCTGGGACACACTCCCAACAACATCCCTCACCTGCTACAGTACAGGGGGTCCCACTTGAGATTTTTTTAAAAATCTCAAGTGGGACCCCCTGCACTGTAGCAGGTGAGGGGTGAAAAAATCTCAAGTGGGACCCCCCTGCACTGTAGCAGGTGAGAGGTGAAAAAATCTCAAGTGGGACCCCCCTGTACTGTAGCAGGTGAGGGGTGTGGTTGGGAGTGTGTCCGAAGGTGTGCCCCTAGTGCTCCTCTAAAAGATATGGAGAAGATTAAGTGTATAATGGCGTCGAGCACTACTTTGGACGGCTCTGATTTTTATTATAGTAATTGGGAATAGAAGAAACGTTTCATGCATCTCATTAGAGCCAAAATTATGTGATACAAGGGTGGGAGAAAATACTCAGATGTATTTCTAACTAAATAGTGGTTTTCATCGGCACGAATCATATCAGAACTTCCCAACAAGCGAGTGACATGTTCTGATTGCTAAAAGGGGATAGTGAAATCCCCAACATGCCCTCTAATATGTCCAGAAAAAAAGCACGCGTTGTCTCTTCTCATGCTGGTCAGCTTAGATAGAATTAGAACTTAAATTTTCTTGGTATGGTGCTTTTATGTTTTCAATCCTTTCTAGCATGTACTAGTACCTATTCGTAAATTCATGCTTTGAAATTTAAATGAAAATTTTGTTGTTGTTAACGTTGTTGTGCTATATGTGAAAAGTTGTAGGAGTGTTTACATTTTGTTGTGAGACATCTTACAAAATTACTATATTACTTGTCTCTTTCTGTTATGATGCATCATTTTTCCACGTATACAAAAATATACAGATGTTTTTCTCTTGTGAGGAATCTGATATCAAACTACAATACAATTAACAGACATATATACAGAATAAAAAATAATAATTTAATAAGCCTCTAAAAACGAAGGCTGTTTTGGATGTATTGGTGGGTCGAAACAGGAAGCTTTCACAGACTTCTATTTACACAGATACAGTTCGCTGCCCAGCCCAGCCCAGCCCAACCCACTAGTTCTTTTAGAAGTCGGCCTGGGCCCCAAGCTTTATTGACAGAGCCATGATCTCTATCCACAAGGAATGTTTTGTTTCTCCTTGAATTTTTTCAGAGGTGATAATAATACACAAGGGACAAAGGAGTGAGAATAAACTAGAATTTTGCATCTAGCAGCCCAGTAGATGATCAAATCCAAATCCACAGAAGGTGAAGCTTTAGTCCTCTTATTATATATTCTTTGATTTACTCTTAATTTGAGTTAAAAAAAAAACACGCCCCTCACGTTGTTGTGCCCGACGGCCTAATTGTTGTGCTTCGAGAAACCAAATCAAAATGTTGAGATAGAAGGCTAAACAATCCAAGATAACTACACAAACACAAACAACCAATTTTTACGTGGTTCGGCAAGTTGTCTACGTCCACGGGGCAAGAATGGAATGGGTTTTTACTAATAGAGAAGAAGAGTACAAACTGATATTACAAATCACTCAAAACAACCAACTAATCTCACTAATAAATCTCTAATTCTCTCCAAAAATAAAACTCTAACAAATAGCTTAAAAATACATCTTTTCTGTGCTCCAAATATCCCTCAATCAATGCTTAATCAAAACCCAATCAAAGTCAAAGAAACCCTAAAAACGTGTCTCTATTTATAACAAAATACAATCCCAAACAGATTGAGATTCTAAAAAACGAGTCTGCCACACCCGGGGATGGCAGACACCACACCACTGAAAACAAGGTAGATTCTGTCACACCTGAGTGTGACAGACACCACACACATGTTAACAGGGACATATTCTGCCACCTGGGTGTGGCAGACACCACACCAGGGTGTGGTGGAGCCCGTCTTGCTTATTTTTCACGTTTTTTCTTAAATTCTTTCGCCGTTTTCACACACGTTTCTTCCAAATCACGAAGGATCATACAATTTTCGTCCGTTTTTTTCCCGTTAATAATGGAGAACGCATTCAACCAATCATCCCTCTTATTACACTAAAGGCATCTCAACTTCATCGTATATAGATTTCACATTGAAAGGGTATGTGTTTCGAGATCTCTCGATCGTAGGGGCTGTTTGGTTGTATGTTTTTACCATGTAGAAGGATGAAAAATGTAAAAAAGTAGGTTCCAATATCAGTTTTCATCACTTTACATTGTTTGTTTAAATTCTCTTTTACATGAAAAACTTACACCTTTTGATGAGGTGTCACCGAAAGCAAAATCATCAAAATTAGGAGTGATTTTGTTATAAAGCTAACACAATATCATAAATGTGTCCAAAAAAATAATTAAAAAAGTCAAAACCTGAAAGTGGTGAGGTGGATAACCACTTTTTATTTTGTGTCATAAATACTCTAGTTTACATTATACTATCCAAACAATGTAATACTATTATTTTAGGATTCACAAAGATTCCTAACCAAACAATATAAACACTCGAAATGGAAAGTGGTGAGGTGGATAACCACTTTCTATTTTGTGTCATAAATATTCTAGCTTCCTAAAGGCATCCAAACAACCCCGTAGTTGTTTCAGAAAGAAATACCTCGTTTGAGAGGAGGATTGCCGCCCGATAAGCAAAGGAACCCGATCCACTAGTTGAAACGATTCCTTCGGTCTCTACTTTTGTGATCCAAATAACAAACCGGCCCACAAACATCCTCACAGCCCGCTCTGCTCCACCAACAACACAGTGGAACGTCCCTGACATTCTCTCATTATTAGCCACGAAGACGGGCGGACAAAAAAAAAAAGGGATGTATATTGCTTGTAGCACTAGGCATCTAGAAACTTTCTTTCCTTAGCTAGCGTCACACATATTATTTGACTACATCAATAATTTGACACGCCACAATATCTACAATGGATGTATATTATTCACTAATAATGACATATAAAAGGAGAGTAAATAATGCTATCAATCACTCAACAGAGTCATGTTGTCTCAGATGAAAGTTATATAGAAAATGGAAGTAACCTAACATTAAAGCCTTGGCCAATATTCACTCATCCTTCAAGTCTTCCCTCTCACCAACCCTCAAATATTGCGCTTGCAACCTAAGCAATACTGCTTGCATCCCATGCACGTTAACACCTTCACAAAAGGAGACATAAACAAAGATAAAGTTAGAAGGGTTAGGTAACTCTAGGTAATATGTAGCTTCTCTTACCGAATACAAATATTATCATAACATTTTTTTATGGGAGTAGAGTGTTCTGAACCATAAAAAAAGGGTTCATTGGCTAGGCATCAGAGAAGCAAAAAATTATTATTGTTATTTGGTCAAAGAGTCGAGAACACTTTGCAGTCTATCCGCAACAGTAGAACTACAAGAGGTATATCTGCAATTGGGCAACAGTACAAAGTGGCCATTCCACAATTAACCCTAAAAAAGTTCATATGTCCAAATTGTCCTTTTGTTGTCCCTGTAAATGGCTCAGAACATCGTGTTTGTATGTGGAATGTTGCAATAAAATTTGTGCTCCTTCTTACCAAACCCTGAACTCACTGTCTATAAATAGTCAGCAGCATGTACCGTGCACCTACAATCAAATCAAAATTAAGCTAACCTGTTAGAAATGGAGAAGAGCAAGGTTCTTGTTGTAGGGGGAACTGGATACATAGGAAAGAGAATTGTGAAGGCCAGCCTAGTACACGGGCATCCGACGTATGTTCTTCATCGAAAAGAGATCGGAGTGGACATTGAGAAGGTGCAGATGTTGTTGTCTTTCAAGGAGCAAGGAGCTCATCTTGTTGAAGGATCTTTCTCTGATCATCAGAGCTTGGTTGATGCCGTTAAGCTTGTTGATGTTGTTATATGCGCTATCTCTGGGGTGCACATTAGAAGCCATCAGATTCTTCTTCAGCTTAAGCTTGTTGAGGCTATCAAAGAAGCTGGAAATGTCAAGGTGATATTCTTTGATCAATGCAATCAAAATTTATCAAGATGAGAACACTATTTTTCAGGTTTACCATATAAATTGAAATATTTCATAACTTGCAGTTTTCCCAGCCAGCCATTAATAAGTGATCTTTTGCTAAAACAACGAAGTATATATCCTAGGTTTTCTGATAAAGTGGATTTGTCCGCATTTAAGTGATCAATCTCTAGAAAAATTTATGTGAATCTTAATTCAAATTTGCTTGAACAGATAAAAAGAGTTAGCTACGATATTGTACCCAATACTAGAGCTTAAGATGACCAAAATAAAAGAAGATTAATGTTAGTCAAGGATTTACAAATACTAAGGAAATTATATTCACAATATTAACCCTTAACAGAAAACTAATTGATTAGTGCAGGGTACTCCTGTTATACAAACTCAATCAATCTTGTTGTGTTGGAGTTTTTAATCAAATAAATGGTTAAAAGTTGGAACTAACTGTACTGAAGAAAGTATAACTTGTTCACCAACTTTCTCAATTAATCACTGTCAGTATCAAGACTTGCCGCAATTGAAAGTGTCTTCT